TTGTCGAATCTCATTTTACAGATAAAAACATTTTCTTTAACACTTTGATCAAATCATCAAGTCTCTGTCCTCAGTTTGTGAACCTGCCTCGAGGATTCTCAACATAAAGAAGATTTTTCACTGAAAGCGTCATTTTTCACAAGCGCATAGACGTAACATATTAGCACGGCAAGCTACCTGAACTTTAGCATCTTTCTGAGGATTGAAACAAGGGTTGATATTGTGGGTACACTTCATCATGCTTTCATCACGCTATTTAGTGGAGAAAAAGGATGCTTCTTTAAAAGCCTCATTCTTCATCTATATTTATCATACAGAAAATTTCTTTTTGTTTTCCTGTCTAAGAATTCGATGATTTCAGATTTTCTATTTTCTAACCTACCATTATCAGATTTTACTGCCTGAGGACGCTTTTAAAAAACTGCAATAGAAATTAGCATCTCATCTAATTACAGTTTATGGTTAAGGTTGGTGAGTACTGTCTAATAAAATTGTTAGTAGTTAGGATGTACGGAAATGTGTTTTAAAAACTCAGCTTAAAAAGGTTAGGTTTGAACCTTCGTTGTAATCTCACTTGTTCTATTCTGCCTAACTGCCACGTTCGGGTTTGGTGACAGCAAGTAAAAATGAATACAAGTATAGAATGCTATTCTTCCTTAAAGATTAGATCACATTTCACAAATAGGTTATTCCCACACAAAGTATAAATGCATTAGCTATTCACACTTTATGATGTTAATTAGCAGATTTTCAGAACACAAACTTTTTTATATTTTTAATGGAATTACTGTCCTACTTTCCGGATGTTGCAGTCTGTCAGTTAATCAGTTAATACACCTGAGGTGAAAAGTAATCAAATAACCTTTCGAAATACTTTAATTAGTGGTTCAAAAATAGACAGAGTTCATTGGACTCCTCTATAGTATTGATAGAAGGTAGGCATTTCTATCAGATTGATGTTGCTGATTATTTGAAATATCTTGTGGCAGATTATTTGAGAGTTTGATTGATTGAAAAAACTTCTTTCCTCAGATGAATTCAAAGCCCTGAGTGGAATTAAAGTTTACCTCTTCGATTAGAAATTAGTTGAATACAATACTTGATTTCCTAAGATGCATTGCTTCGTCACTGTAATAATTTATAATGTGGTGGGTAGGAACAGTATGAACTGGGAAGCAATCACATCTGTATAGCTCATATACATCTCAATATGTTCGGAGTTATTTCTGTGACCATCCAATAAGGTGCAAAGAATACAATCAATTAAGACTTTGAAGAAAGAGGTGGAGTACATGGCTGAAAATATGCTCTCTGATAATAACTTTTTGTGATCAAACCGTATGAGAAAAGTAGGTGAAGCTGTCTGATAGGTCATCCGTCGTATCTAAAGTAAAGAACTTCTTATCAAGCTTCTGAGTATAAGCAAATATTACAGCATACTACATCTTGTCAGAAAACACAAAATTGACTGGTTATTCAAATTCTTTACTTAATTCTTTATTTGTGTTCATTTACAAATTTTCATTCACTGTATAAATTAAAATACTTTAAGCAACTTCTAGTGCAACAGTGGTTAAATGATACATCGCTCGTCAGCTATACAGGAGGTCAGGGTTCGGTCCCTGGCCAATGCACTCCTAAAATTCTCTAAGCCGAAAGTGAAACCGATAAAGAGGGAAGGTTGGAGGTCAGGCTAGCAACCCCACGTCGTGAAAAATAAAACCATTGCTACAGAAACTTCACAGCCCTAGCTTTAAGCACTATGTTCCCCTGAGAACGCAAAGGAATAAAATAAAAAATAAAAATTATTCCCTTGGAATACGAGTAGAAAATAGGGCTTCAATAACACATCTCCGTTTTCTTCTATTTTCTGTTGTCCTCCTTAACTGGGCCCACGACTTTCAATAATCCCTGATCTTCTCCTAACATGATCTCCTCCATTTCACTCTCGGACGACCTATTCGTTGCTTCCCACTTGGGTTACACTCGAGTGCCTGCATTGCGCTCAATGTCATTCGATGGCCTTCTCAATATATGCCCGATCCAATTCCATTTTCTCCAACATATTTGCTGAGCAGTTGGATCTTGCTTGGTTTGTTGCTAGAGTTTCTTGTTTCTAAATATTTCTGGTCATTTAATCTTCAGTATGGAGCTAGCGAAGGCAGCTGATGATAAATGCCTGCAATAAACCTCTGGAAATCCTTTTCGTGATGCCTCAAGTTCCTGTTCCATATAGAAGAAATGACTTATTTCTTACTAGCTATCCTTTTTCCTGCTTTCGTCCTCACGTTTCCTATGAGCGTTCGGTTATCCATTTATTCCAAATGAATAACCAACGACTACAACCACGTACGTAGCCGGTAAACATCCTGCTAGTGAGCTAACGACTGATAGAATAAACCATGTTTATTCATTTGAAATGTTCCATTTGTGAATCAATTACGTCGCCTAGATTACCAATTGGCTAGTTTTCAAACCGGTCCTAAGCCAGGAAGAAGTAGGTTGGTCGGGCGTATTGCTAGCGAGCCTACCCAGGAGAATCAATCCAGTAGCCGCAGAAACTTCAAAGCATAACAAAAATATAAAAACCAAACTTATTCTTCGACAAAATCAGAGAGACGTAATGATGCAGGCTAGTGAAATACTTCAGGAAGGCAGTTGGCCGATGTGTCTTCCCCTGATAAAAGTTAAAATAAGCATTGGGATGCGGAATATAAAGACAGTGTATGAAGCTGGGAAGGCTGCATAGGTTGACAAAGAAATAGGAAGACATGGCATAGATATGCTCCGAATCTGTGGGAGCAGATGGAATGGATGTGGATTATCAAAATTGTTAACTGGAGAGTTGATAATCTTCTCTGGTCACCCAGATGACAACCACGAGCACATTGAGTGAGTGGCTATCATGATGTCACCAATAGCAGCCAAGGCTATTATATGGAGGGAGCCAATCTCCTCCAGTATAATGACAGCGAGACTCATCTCAAATGGAAGGAGGGAAGGAAGGTCACAATTATCCAATGATACGCACCTACAAACAACTCCGAACGAGAAAAGAAGGAAGATTTCTATAAAGAACTGCAAACAGTAATGGATAAAATCCCACATAGCGGCATCCAAATGGATAACACGAATGCTAAACTGGGAGCAGACAACACAGGAAGAGTGCTTATCATTAGTTGTCAGGCTGTTGATGATTTGGATGAGAGTGGCGAAATCTTCACGGACTTCTGATTTGGTGACTGGGGGTAGCGTGTATAATCAGAAGGTTAAATGAATCTCACGTGACGGATACATCAAAAACCAGAGAGATTACACCTCAACAATGCTCAAGGAAGTGGAGACGCCGTCTGGTGTGCGTAAAGTCAAGGAGAGGAGCAGATATGGGCTCAGACCATAACCTGGTACTGAATGTTTTCGAAACAACATGAGACAGACCACAGTTCGAGTTCAGTACTCAGAAACTGAAGTACGAAACTACGGAGAATACCTTCACTGCAGCCATAAGAGCAAAGTCGTAGACATTACTTAGCACGTTACGATTTATGTTCAGTGTCACATAAATTGGAAGATCTACAGGTGAAAATCGACAAACTGACAGAAAAGGTAGCAGAGACAGGATTTCAAATGAATAGAGAGAAAACGGAGGTGGCAAAGATAACCAAACAACAACAAGTGCTAATCACTATCAACGGAATAAATTTGAAAGAGGTTATCTCCTTCACTTATCTAGACAACATCATTTCAACTGTAGGCGACAGCACAGATGAGAATTTCAAAAGCAGGACTGGTTAGGAAAGGCAGACCTTAAAATTATAAAATCAGTTTGAAATTCCTCTGCATTCAGCATAAAGAACGAAATTCTAATTTTCAGCACTAGTATTAAGTCAGTCAGTTCTTCGAAATGGGTCAGAAACTTGGCAAGTCACGGAAAGCCTTTCCAGCTGGTGGCTTCAGATTTTTAGCAAAGCTCACTTCTCAGGCTCCCCAATTAAGATCACGTGGTTGGCAAGGAAGAATTAGCAGCAAAGAACTCTGGGAATGAACCAACCAAGAACCTATTACTTAACAGATATTTCGAAGACAACAGAGATGGAGCGGCCCATTAAATAACACCACACGCCAGGCCATCTCTCAAGTGGAACCTCATTGGGAAACGACAAGTTGGGTGTTCAAGTGTGATATGGAAGAGATCGTGCAAAGGGGAGATGAAAGCTCGTAGCCAGATGAAGCGAACTGCAGAGGATAGGACTACATGGAGATCTGCTGTTGAGGGACTATGATCTACTTGGAACCCAAGGGAATAATAATGATGATAAATTTTTGAGTCATTAAAGACTTTTGTTTTGTCAGTCTTCGCTTCGACTTGTGCCTCACCTGACAGTTATTACTACCGGCTATACATGTAGCTCTCTAACTATTAAAAATGTTGTTACCATAGCAGCCGTAACCAAGTAATCGATAAATGACTAATTTCAAGGACCCAAAGATAGATTCGTTTTTAGATCCTTAAGAAAAGGAGTTAATTCTATTTGGAGTTGAAATATGATGCAATGAATGAAGCTACAGCGACAGTATCAAGTGGATGGTGGTTAGTGATAATAGGAAAATTAATTGCCTATTTTGATGATATCGTATTTTGTCTCTGTAAGGGCTTACAGAGCATTTATCAGAGAGATCATGATATGAGATTATCTCAGAGCTTATTGTTTCTCACATATATCGGCCACATTTCGATTTCTCCACTGAAATCTCTAGAGATTATGTGAATGTTAAAAGCTTCCTCAATAATTATATTATTTCATGTGATAATTGCGATAAGAAACAAAAATAATTCTGTGCAGTTGATATGCATACCTACTTTCTACGATCTGCATATAATGTTCAAATTTCTTTTCTGTATTACGACAGCTAGACAAAGGAAGAAAATATTGTACAAAGGGGGGTAGAATTATTTCTGCCTAGTAGTAACCTTGATTCTAACCAGTCATTCGCGCGACCTTGAAATTTCTAAATCAATTGCATGTAAATTTAGAACCAATAATATATATCCTCGATTTCGGTTTACGTCTTCACGATTCTGTATAAAAACTATATAAATTAGCCTTATTTTCAACCAAATAATAATAATAATTATACTTTGATCCTAATTCACAAATTCATAGTTCATACTTTAATTTAATTTAATATTCTTTTTGAAATGCCACTTACCTCACGTTCACCGTACGACAGCAAAACACTACTTGCTAAATATTATGATTTACCACAACCGGAAGACAAAATTCAAGTGATGTATGTATGGATAGATGGAAGTGGAGAGAATCTACGCTGTAAAACAATGACTTTGGAGAATGAACCAGAATCTCCAGACGGTAAGTTTATAAAATCTTGAAACTTTTAATGCCTTTTATTTCATCCAGAATAATCCTTTATATATAGAATGAATTAAACAAGCTGTTTAGTGTGTAAAACACTTTTGTTATTAGAGTTTATTTAATGATTAGATGGTGAGTCGGTAGTTTGTCGGTATGGGGTTCGATCCCCAGCCAACATACCCGTAAACGCCGCTTAGCTGGTAGTAAGCCCAGTAACGATGGAAGGTTTGGCGTGAGGCTAGCAACCACATCCTATAAAAAAAGAAGAATAATAACACTAGTGCTGCTGAAACTTCAATGATCAAATTTAAAGTCCTATATTCAACTTGAAATTAAATATATAAAATAGCGATTAAATGTAAGATGGCGGAAGTTTTAATTTTCTTCCTTACCACCAGCTATCTGTCTACTGGTCATTTAAAATACACGCAACTGTTAATGATTTTTTTGAGAAAGGAAACACCACTTCATCATGGCGTAAAAGTTAAATTTTAAATGTATGAGAATAGGGCTGAGATAGGGAATGAATAGCAATCAATCATTCAAGAAAAACACAACTAGTATTGAATTTAGCATCGTAGCTTATATTTCGGTCATGTCGTGTAGAATCTTTGTCTGCATAAATGAAACCAGACAGACTACTTCTTATTTTTTTCTACTAAAATTAACAGTCAGTATTCTCGTTAAATGGTATTTTACCTTTGTTTACCACCTTTTTCGTATTCAGTAGAGAAATGTAGTATAGGAAATGTTCCCTCATGTATAAGGCATTTAGGGAATTCAGCTCATTTGCTCAGCGGTCTATTGTGTTAATCTAAGCTCAGCCTACCTAATTGTTTCTGGCAGGTATAAGGAATATCCAACAACTTTGTATGTCACGGAATATACACATTTGATCATAGGGAATAAAAAGACAATTGCAGTGAAGAAAATTTTCTTTTCGACGAATTCACCGTCATCTAGACTGTACATTCGTGTACTTATATCAAATGGATGGGAAAGTTCCAGAATAATTTCCGGTTAAGGGTCAAATTAATAAAAATTACAATTAGGAATTAGAATACCATATTAAACAGGGGGACGGATAAAACTCAAACAACTGGGGGTTAGAAATGTAGAAATAACAAAATAGACGGGATGTTTGGATAAAAAAGCTAGTGGGATCATAACTAATTTGACGAATAATTGTTTATGCAATCAGGGATTAAATATGTAGAAATAGTAAAATGAAAAAATAAACAGGAAGTGTGGATATGAAAATATGGTAGTGTAGACAGGGATTAAGAAAAACTCAAAATAACATGAATAAACAGGAAGTTTAGATAAGAAAGGCGATGGGATGGTCATTACTAAAAAAATTTTTACCTTTTTATGATGGCCATGGCAGGGACAGGGGTTGGACGTATTTCTTGTGGATACAAGGTGTGGATTTGAGCCTTTGGATGGCTAGCGCCTCAGCTATGCCCAGATGTTTTGATTTGACTCCCTTTGATAGGTTTGATTGAATCTTGTGTATTACTTTGAAGGATTTTTCGAAAGGCGCTGAATGTCCTGAGTTGACCAGATGTTCTGTCACTGAACTGTATACACGTTTTTGGTCTCCTTTTACTAGCCAGGCTGGGTAGTGTTTGCGAGCGCATGGTACTTTGTCTGAAGGAAACTAAATCACTTACTTTAATTGTCCCTTTACAAATAATTGAAAAAATAATGATACCGAATATGTTTAATCCATATTACCAAATTGCGGATAAGACACTGAAATATATCTAACTTTGGTTGGGTTAGTACATTAAATATTGTTTTTGTTTATATGTTGTAAACACATTTTAGTCGCAAAGCACATATTCGGGCTGTTTGTTGAGTGGTAACTAGGATTCGACTCCAGGATGTTCTTTTCGTCGTATTTGGGACTCATCAGACGGATGTCCCAAAACATTCCCCAGTGAGTGTTGGTGTCCTCACTGGGATTCGAACCCAGCACTCATCGTTTCAAACGGTATATCGACAGAGACAGAACATTTCGGGTAAACATAATCAATCAGTCAGTCAATCAATCAACAGCAAATGCACAATTAACTTCTTTTTTTCCTGTGTTGTCATATGATCTGTGTAGATTACTTTGTAAAATAATCAAGTATGGATTATCAGGAATTATGTAATCGATGAGCTAAAATAATTGTCCAGTTAGTGTTTCACTGTTTGGAGAGATGCAGCTCATTAAAACGAGATAGTTAAGTGTACTGTGGTGTGAACTATCACAAAATCAATGATAATATCATTGGGAAAATTAATTGTGGCAGAAATTCAACAACATCCACCCTTCGCTTACCTTTACTTGTGAAGAGGAGCAGGAGAATAAACTACAATTCCTGGATGTCTTGCTAAGTAGGAGAGAAGATGGGTCACTTGGGAGAAGCGTGTATAGAAAAAGTACATTCACATGGCAATACACACACTTCCTTAGTTACGTGCCCATTAAATATAAAAGCAATGTTGTAAAGTGTCTTGCGAGCAGAGCAAGAAAGATATGTACGGATGACTTCTTACAAAAGGAATTTGAATATATTCACGATTCCTTGATGGAGATGGGCTATCCAAGTAGTTTCATAAAGGAACATATGAAAACATCGGAGGAAAAACCGGAGACTCTGACTGCACGTAAGAAATCTCTATTTATTAAGTTACAATTTAATGGTGACTTATCTAGTGAGATTCTATTCCAAAGACTTTCAAGGAGTATACGAAGAACATTTTATGCAGCACACCCATGTTTGTAATTCTCTAACCGATGAATGATTGGGACGCAAACGAAGGATAAGCTTGATAGTTTTGCCACATCTATGTGTATTTATCAATTCAACTGCACCTGCGGCGACAGTTATATTGGGCGTACTACTAGACAGCTTAGCCAACGTGTTAGTGAACGTCTCCCTTCGTGGTTTGACAAAGGACAGACAAAAACAATTCGTAGCTCAATTTTGTCACACTTAATTGATAGTGGTCATGTAGCCGAGAAAACCAGAGCCTTCAAAGCAATTCATCGTATCCCACCGAATCTTTCCAATAGACTTCGTATTCGTTTACTGAACACAGCTGAGGCTATAGGCATTCGAACTATTAAACCTAAACTATGTATTCAAAAAAAGTTCGTACAGCCATTATCCCTCCCTTGGCCTATTAAGACATAACCAACTAATGACTTCTACACCACCCTTTGTTTATATTTTCAACCCCTATCTTATCATCCCTTAATCTTATCACATCTTCATTATAAACGTGTTTCATTTCCTTCCCTTAAAATCTAACATTACTTAATCGGTTCATTTGTTTTTACTAGCCTTTATCGACTATTTCCACCTGAACAGTTGTTTGTTTAATCATACTGTTTTTTCATTATTCGTGTTATCACAGATTGCCTCACTTTTTCATCCTAATTATTGATATGACGATTTTTATTATTACTATTATTATCATTACTAATACTATTATGACTAATTGCACAATTTATATTCACCATCGTATTATCCTACAGACAAAACACCATGATTGGTTTATATTTGAATTTTTATTTGTAAAGTTATGTAAGTATATTAGAGTTAAGCCTGACGAGATTATATTGAAAACAATATTGTTCGCTTAAATGTGTTGTTCTAAATTTTACTACGGGAATATTTAATATATTGAAATATGGCTAAGTAGAAAAGATATTAAAAACTGTCAGTCTTCTATCTCGGGCTTATAGACAGGAATAAATTCCCTAGCAGTATGATTCATTCTGTTTATATGTATAGAGATAATGATTTATGGAAGTTTCGACTACTCTATTACTCAAGTCAGATCATTTTATAAAAAAGGATTTAGATTCATTCTCAACAATTCACCTCTAATTAGTCGGTTAACTATTACTCTTCAATTAACTTAAGTGATATATTGGTCGGCCAACTGTTTTACTGACTAATATTTATTGGAGATGGAATTATATATGCTTGGGATATTTTTGTTATTACGGCACGCGTTAATAGTTAGGAAATTTTGACTGTTACATTTTAGTTCAGTTCAGCTCGCCGACCGTGCACATGGTCCGGGGTTCGATCCTCGGCCGGCGTACTCCTTTACCTTACTCAAGGTGATATCTTAGTTTTTCCCTTTGTCTGTGTCTTTTTACTTCACCTTTTGTATTTATAATTATAATTGGTAGTGCAATCGTAGAATTCTCATCAGCCACGCACGTGGTTTTGCGTTAGACTTGCTGCCGACGGATTCTTGTCCCTCGCCTAGTTTACTAGCCTATAATAGGCCCAAAAAAAGAGAAGGTTGGATGTGAGGCTAGCAACCCCATCCCGTAAAAATAAACACCAAAGCAGCCCAAAATACGAAGCTTGAAGCTCCATGTTCCACGAGAAACGCCAGGGAATGAAAAAACCACAACGAGGTATTTATCACTTTAAAATTTGATGCCTGACTCAAGTAGAAACAGTTCATTTTTCAGCATTCTGTTGTATGATGTAATAAATATTACAAAGTAGTATGGACTTGTTCTACTCTTAGATTTCAATAAATTTACTCCCCTATTTTTTTTCTTTTTCTTTTTGGAAAAATAGATTGTCCAATGTGGAATTTTGATGGAAGTAGTACAGGTCAAGCTGAAGGTTCCAATTCTGATGTTTATCTAAAACCATGTGCATTGTTTCGTGATCCATTTCGGGGTGGGAAAAATAAATTAGTCTTGTGTGAAACGTATAATTATGATAAAAAACCACATGGTAAGAACAGATTAATTAATCGTACATGTATTAGTAGTATAACTATGTATTTATTGTCATATCCCCTTATAACTATGAAATATATTCATTTATTCACAAGGAACAGCACGCGTTTCGCTCAGCGAAGAAATACCTATTTTTATTGCTCGATGAATACGCATTTGATAAGAATAAGGATGATTAACAGTTAATGTTCTCCGCTCGAAGTATGCAGGATTCTATGTGCATCTACTCTTCGATATACTCCTGTGGAGCTGATTACGCTGAAGGTTGTAAGTATGTTCTCCGGAAACGTGTAGTTGAACATTATCCAATCTGGTTGACGAAAGATGAGCATGGAATGAGGAAGTCTTCTATCTATGAACACTTTCTTGAATCAGACTATTTATTCTTATGCGATTTGTCCTTTAAAGTTATCTACAAGACCAAATCCAACCACTCCAAAAGTTTACTTTTTCCCCAGTTATGTATATTCGAATTTCTAGCCATACATGAGCAAAAACTTAAATTCAAAAACGTTTTCTTAAACTCCTTTCTTTCTTTTAATCATAGTAATGTTCTGAAAAGGAAGTTTTCGCTGTATGTATCCCTTTATATGTACATATTATTTGTTAGCTGCATAATTTTCTTTACACAACACTTAGTAGTAGTTATAAGTAAGAGTTAAGGTTATAGTAGTAGTAGTAGTCATGAATTTCGTCACTAGCTGACTACCTTTAATGTTGACAGACAATTTAAAATACAAGTATCTGTGAAAGTAATGTTTCACATGGAGGAAAATATTCATAAATTCGAATCATTTTATTATGTCTTTACAATTTTATACTGATGAGTGCCAACTAGCGCGAAACCCAGGTCCAAGGCTTCCTGTGGCCGATTGCCTCCAACCATCTAATACCAACAATTCACAGTGCACCGTAATAGCGAGCCACCTAGCATGGTGGCCACATTGCAAACATGACTGATAGAATTCAGTCTGCACCGAAGATAGGACTAGACACATTACACTAGTTACTGACTAGTGTGCAATCAAAAATATCCAATACAGTCCTACAGGAGGTCAGTCGCTAGCCTGAATAGCTCAGTGGTAACGTCTCTGACTGCAGCACTGGGTGACGCGGGTTCGAATCTCAGAAGGGACATGAGTTCCTTCAAGGTTGCAGATACGCCTTGCTGACTGGTGAGTGCCAACTGGCACGAAACCTAGGTCGAAGGCTTCCTGCCGATTGCCTCCAACCATCTAATACCAACAATTTATACTAAATTCTATCGATCAAGACTTTTCCATCGCACAATTTAGTAATCATCTACATTACGTTCTACCAAGTGTTGTCAATTGTCCACTCTCTTCCAACACTTCATAATGATAGTGATAATAATAATAACAATAAAGGGTTCGCGTGTAAAACAATGAATAACTACAAAGTTGGCGGGAAAAATGATTAAAAGTAATGGTTTTTTTTGTAGAGACTTAGTTTGATTGGTTGGAGAATTTCATCATGAGCTGACATAACTTAGAGAACAAGTGGAAAACCAACTGGGAATACTGGACAACTGTTTCGTCAGCCTAGTTCGGGACTCCGCACAGTACGCACCCACCGGCAAGGGTTCGAACCCAGGACCCTCTGGTTACAAGGCGACCTCGTAGACCCTTGAGCCACTGGGACCCGATCCAATGGCTAATCCATGAATTCTAACTTCTGACAATTCATGACATAGCGCGACCACTTCGTAATGTCTACTTCTTCGATGAGTTACTGCCTCACCTTCAACCTGCTGTACCCAACTGGTCACGGCCCTATTCAGGCAGTGACCTGGGGTTCTAGTGGGAAGCCGTGATCAGTAGGGTGCAACAGGTTGAAGGTGAAGACAGTTACTCAGAGAAATGGCCGCGCTATGTCATGAATTGGCAGAAGTTAGAATTCATGGACTAGTCATTGGATCGGGTCCCAGTGGCTCAAGGGTCTACGAGGTCGCCTTGTAACCAGAGGGTCCTGGGTTCGAACCCTTGCCGGTGGGTGCGTACTGTGCGGAGTCCCGAACTAGGCTGACGAAACAGCTGTCCAGTACTCCCGGTTGGTTTTCCAATGGTTCTCTAACTGATGTCATCTCATAATGAAATCCTCCAACCGAAAATGTTTACAGCACATTAGTTTGACTACCTTCATTATTATTATCGGTCATCTTGTCGACACAACAGTAAAAAGAATGTCTACTTCCTGTTCTTGTCTTATCATTATTGTTGTTCTAACATAGAACCGAAACTAAGTGAAAGTTAGATAGATGACTTACAACCTATCATGTGAATAGTGCAGTGTTTTGTTTGCTTCCTTTGTTATGATACAAACATTAAAAACGAATTAGTTTTCACACGCATATTTACATCCTTGTGACCAATTAACAGTGAATTTAATGTATTTATCTATCCACTTTACATTCTTGCTATTTTATAATAACAATTATTATTATTATCATCTGAAGTGACATACATAATCGCCTGATGTGAGTTAATTATTGTTGTTGTTGTTGTATTGTTGACCTTCAAAAGGCTGACTATAGTTCATTATTCTATCGTAGAAACAACTATTGGTGAATAAATTACACTTGGAAAATTCTTTCATTCTGTAGGTTTTCTTTTTAAAAAAAAGTAGATATTGTGCGTCAAAAATTACTACTAGTCAGTCTGTATTAATTCCTTGGTAAGTGATTCCAAAGGTCATCCTTTGAAATAGCATATTAAGTAAAAACAGACATTAAGAAAGAAAGATATTGCAAACATTTCAAAGTGACGTAATGGAAAAATGAACTTTAATTTGATTGTCTTATTTTACTGAAAAAAGGAACATTGAGAGTTAATATGATTTGAATTATTCAAGTGAAAATTCTCTATTGTATTCATTCTATGCATGGCACGTATTATTATTATATTCCATTGGATTCTGAGTGGAACATAGGGTTTCAATAGCACATCTTCATTTCACTCTGTTTTCAACTGTCCTCTTCAGGTGGCTGCTCCACAGTTGTCCACAAGGTCTCATCTCTTCAAAAAATTATCTCTTCTGTTGTCACCCTTGTACAAACACCCAGCTTATGGTTCCCTAGTCGAGTTCTATTTGTGCTATGGCCTGGAGCCTAGCGTCACTTAACGGTCATCTGAGAGTGTGTCCAATCCACTTCTATTTCCTTCGGCGTTTTTTGCTGAGCAATAGATTCGTTGTAGGTTTGCTCTCAGAGTTCCTTGCTGCTTATCCTTTCTGATTGGCTATCTGATCTTCAGTATGAAGCGAAGACATCTGCTGATGAAAGTCTGCAACAAGCCTTTGGAAATGTTTTCGATGACACATTCGCCAAGCACTGATTTGACATTAAAAACCTTTTTATGAAACTAGGTATCTGTCAAGGAACTTAACCCCAAAGTTCCTATTATTTGCGAAGACACTCCGAATCGACAATTACTAGGTACGATTATCGACTTTAACTCCAAAACACAAGGATCAATAAGAAAATGTATTGTTCCGCAGTTAAGTTCGTTATCGTACAAAGTCTATCAACAAATGTTTTACAAGGAATGTATTGTACTTTTATTCATAATCTTTCGTCTTCTTCCAACTTGTACACGATTGAATCATTCGCGCCTTCAAGTTGCCCGCCAATGGTGACCAAGGTCAATGAACCAACGTTTAATGTTCACATTCATTTACAGTATCCTTATTATAAAGTTTTAAGAGGAATTGAATTTATTAATCATTGAAAAATTCTATGTAATAATTTCTTCTCATTTGTAGACTGTTAATAGTGAGTTCTAGTTAGACAAGTATTGTAGTAAAATGCACTGTCCCCATGTGATTTAAATAACCTAATACAACAGTGAATATAAATACTTAACCTCGAGAAATCAGTTTATAATTATAATTTATATACTATCTATAAAAACCTGAAAAGTTGCTGAATTATTATGCTAAGCTGAAGGCAAGCATTTTCCTTCCATAAGAGCTGGTGAATTAACTGAAGCCGAATAAGCCTCAGGTCATAATCCTAATAGTTTGAATTCCAGTCAACTATCTGGTCCATAAATGTGAGATAAGAAGAGTTCTCTTCTGTTCCTAAGTCGAATACTAAGACTGAGTTATAAATATATCGAATTCTGAGTATTTGATCTGCTCTAAGCTAGTACCAAACAAAATAATTATACAACTGTGATATTAGATAGTTGGAGGCAATCGGCAGGAAGCCTTGGACCTAGGTTTCGTGCTGGTTGGCACTCATCAGCAAGGCGTATCTGCAACCTTGAAGGAACTCATGTCCCTTCTGAGATTCGAACCGGCGTCACCCAGTGTTGCAGTCAGAGACGTTACCACTGAGCTATTGGGGCTCGCGATTAACCTCCTGTAGGACGTGACGTGTCTACTCCTTTATTTGGTGCAGACTGTCTATTTTAAACATTGGTCTACACCAAGAAATTCAAGCAAATTAATGAGTATAAAATGAATAACTTATTTTACAACTTCATAAAAAATATCCTGTTTACAAATTGGTTGTCGAACAGTAATCAAAATAGCTGATAAGTTGTAAATGCTGAATAAATTGTAGTAATCAATCGTCATGACACTCTAATGTATTGCGTCAAATGGGAGAAATCGATCTACTGGAGCACTGAATATTTCAGGGTGGCATACAGTGACAACATCATCTACTCGACAGTATGACTGATATGATTGTCAGCAGTAAATAGGGCTAGATGTGGGATTCAGGATATAACACTGCGCCTATGTATGCTATGATATTAAAATGAAATTAGATTTTATCATAGTGCTCATATTCTGTTATTGCAGTGTTATTTATGAATCTTACCATCTTCTAGAGAACTTTTCTTGTTGTCAGTATTCCACTGAAATGATTTTTTTCAAACTAACTGCGAGCTTGCAGTGATCTGTGTGGTAACGTTATTTATATGAATGCTAAAAACGTAAAGTTTTAAACTATTAGGTTATTTTTTGTGACAGTAGGCTGATATCCTTATGAGTAATTGCTGTTTTAATTCATTTTTAACATAGATATCTATAAATTTGAAAATTAGACTGAGATATTTTGTGTTAAGCACTAAATGCAAATGACTTCTTCTACGTATTATACAATGCTTTTCTTGTCTGAACTACATTATTCTACATACTGAAACTACTAATAGCTTGTCTTTGAAAGAAATACAGAGTAGACAAATATAGAATTGATTCAGATTCAAATTAGAACCTGATTTACAATCCAATTTCGAATTGCTGACTTCTAATTACTTGCCTACCGTTTTACCAACTACACTCACCAACTGACTCCGTATTATTCAAGTGTTGGTTTGTGGGAATATGATTGGTCATAGGACTTCATCATTAACTGACACTAGTTACAGAACCACTGGAAAACCTGGGAGTACCAGACAGCTGATTCGTCCTCGCTTGGGGACTCTTCCACAGCATGCACCTATCGGAGTTCGAATCCAGGACCTTCCGATTACAAGGTGAGCTTGTAGACCACTAAGCCATTGAGAACCGATCCAATGGCCCATGAATTCCAACTTCTGCCGATTCAAGATATAGCACGACTGGCACTAGCCAGTATCGTCGGTGGCCAGCATTTGTCCTCGTACTCGACTTGCTGTACCCCATTTTTCATGAATTCTCACTAGAACCCAGGTAAATACCTACCTGAATAGATTATTAATAATAATTTGCTTTATTCCAAAGCAGTGCTTGTGATACAGAATGGAATTCTCAGCATTTTTACTACAGTATTGCATCCAGTTAGTACATTATCAATAAATAGAATTATACATAGATTAAGGAAATCTCAGTTCATTATTACAACAACACATTGGCATGTCGGTAGCAAAGCCAACGCTGAAACAGTGTTTGAAGGTGTTAGAAAAGTAGGTGCTATCATATTTACTGGCGTAAGCGGAAGAAAGAAACAAAGCAGCACATAACGGAAAAAGAGAGAGAGAGAGAAAAGGAAAAGAAAGAAAGAAAATGTCGTACCTATAAATGATATGACTTGGAAAGATGAGATAAAGTTGTTCTACTGACTATTTAATGAATTATAGGTGTCACGCCTAATGCTTTCTTTATCGCACAGAACATGAGCTAAGTAGGGTATGGTTGAGTTTTTGTACTTGCTGGTGCGAGCATATAGTTTTCTATGTAGGCTTCTGGTTTTGCCTGATGAGATGCAAGGGGAGAGTTGTGAGTGAAGAGGGTGGTGTGAGTTAGATAAAATGGATTTGGCCCATTTTTCACATGAGTCCAAGTGCCTGCCTGTCGACCAGAATATTAACAAGCTGGTTAAGTGGCACGTTGCTTACCTTGCTGACAACCTTCAACATCCTGCGTAATATGTCATAGTCTTTCTTCAGTAGCCCGGGAAAAACTAAGGGGGGACAATAGAGAATAATAGGCAGAATGCTAGAATTAACGAATTGTAGGAGTAAGGGTTGGATTATACCAGAATGTTTTAACTTCTTGATGTAGAAGGTAGGTAGGTTTGCCGACGGTTCTCTAACCCATGTCAGTTCATGATGAAATCGTGTGACTCCGTGTTAATTTCACTTTGACTGCTAAAAATTTCACACAAAGTTCATTTGAATCAGAGATTTTTAATTTTCCATTCATTAACACCATAGTGTTTGTAAAACTCACCCGATTTATGTTCTTAATGAATTGGAGGTAGTTAGTTAGTTGTTTGTTCCTCAAACTATTTGATATACACTGAACTGGTATAAATATACGTCACACATATGAGTACTAAAAACATTTAATAGCTTTCTATGCTTTGTTTGAAAATGCTTCATTGCTGTTCCAACGTAATTTGATAATAAAATTAAAATAAATTTAACATGTCACATGTTTTATTGTCCTACTGTTTTCATCTTGTTTGTTCAGAACATTTTCTGTTTACATCATCTGTGGGTGTATCCTTTTAATATCTTTACTTTATAATCCTGTTCTTCATATTTGTTTAAAACAATTCCAGTATTACATGCAACTGGATAATAGTTTTACTGGTATGATTACATATTAATTTATGAACCACAATGATTCATTTATTCAACGTATTTATTATTAATTGTTCCCTTGGGTTCCTAGTGGAACATAGGGCTCAACTGCACGTCTCCAATTGCTTCTGTCTTCTGTTGTACTTTTCACCTGCATCCATGTTATTCCATACTGTTTCAATTCCTCTTCACACGATCTCCTCCATGTCACCCTTGGACGTCCCACTCGCCGCTTCCCTTTCAGGTTCCACTCGAGCATTGGCCTGACGCGCGATGTCACTCAACGGCCTCCTCTGCTCAGTGAGTGTCCAATCCATCTCCACTTTCTCCTGCATATTTGTTGGGCGATTGGTTCTTGTTTTGTTTGGTTGTTCCCATAGTTTCTTGTTGGAGATTCTTTCAGGCCATCTGATCTTCAGTATAGAACGAAGACAGCTGTTGATAAAGGTCTGCAACAGGCTGTTGGAAATATTCTTTGTGACACACTGGCCAAGTTTCTGATCCGTATAGAAGAACTGACTGACTTGACGTTTGTATTGAAAATCCGAATTTTGTTGTTGATGCTGAGTTGAGTGACGAAGATTTCCAGATTGGTTTCAGGTTGATGAATGTGTTTCTCGCCTTCCCGTTTCTCGATTGGACATCCTCGTCCGTTCCTCCTGTGGTTGAGACAATGCTCCCTAGATAAGTGAATGAAGTAACCTCTTTCAAATCCCTCCTGTTTCTGGTGATTAGCGTTGGAAGTTGCTGCTGCTGTTGTTGTTGTTGTTGGTTGGTTATTTTCATCACCTCCGTCTTGTCTATGTTCACCTGGAGTCCTGTTTTTGCTGCTTCTTCGACCAGTTTGTCGGTTGTCGCTTGTAAGTCTTCGATTTGTGTGACATGAAACATAAATCATCCACGCGCGAAATTCAGGTCTTCTAGATTCTTCGCGTCGGTCCAGGATATCCCTTTCTTCTCGCTTCCCACTATCTGACGCATAATCCAGTTATGTAGGAATTTGGATATGATTTGATATTGACTAACAGTGAAATTACGTCTTACTTGGAACTTTCTTTAGATCAATATATCTGCGCTTCAGTGATCATTTCTTTGAATTTTCAATGAAATTTTAAATTGCTGATAGTCGTTGCACACTTTCAAAGATAATTCTAACAAATAGTCATGTGTCAGTGTAAAACTTTGTGCATAACATCAGTCATATTGCTCAGGTGGTGTTGTTACTTTGCAATAACGACGTTCTTTTCAATGAGCGGAACTGATTTGTGAGCTAAATTATTTGGAATGTGCTAAAATCTTAAGTTGTATAACCACTGATGCGAAAGTTATGTCAGTTATCTGATGAAGGTGTTTCTACCAGGACTGTAAACTATCGCTTTTCCTTTCACTAAGGCACTATTGAGTACATATATATTATTATTTTTGTTCCCTTTAATTTCTAGAGGAACATAGGGCTTCAACCACAAGTCTCCATTGCGCTCGGTTCTCTGCTAGAGTTTTCACCTGGCTCCACGTCTGCCCACACGTTTTCATCTCCTCTTCACATGACCTCCTCCAAGTCACCCTTGCACTGACGACCAACTCGCCGCTTCCCTTTCGGGTTCCACTCGAGCGATGGCTTGTCTAGTGATGTCACTTGATGGCTTGTTTTCTCAGAGTATGGCCAGTCAATCCACCTCCATTTCTTCCTGCTTATTTGTTTCACAATCGGTTCCTGCTGTGTTGGTTCGCTCCTAGAGATCCCTCCCTGTTGCTGATCTTTTCTGGCCGGCCATCTGATCTTGAGTATTGAGCGAAGACAACTGTTAATGAAGGTCTGTAGCGTGTTTGAGATGCTCTTTATGACGCGCAGTGCAAGTCTCTGATCCGTATAGTAGCACTGACTGACTTATCATTGGAGTTGAAAGTCCGGATCTTATTTTTGATGCTGAGTGCTGTTGACCTCCACACAGACTTGAGAGTAGTGAAAGCTTGTCTCGCTTTTCCGATTCTTGCTTTGATATCCTCGTCAGTTCCGCCTGTAGTTGAAATGATGCTTCTCAGGTAGGTAAAGGAGGTTGTTTCTTTCAGGTTCCTTCCATTTATGCTGATTGTTGTCTGTTGTTGTTGTTGCTGTTGGTGGTGGTGACCAGGAATCTTCATCACCTCTGTTTTCTCTATGTTCACCTGAAGTCCTATCTTTGATGCTTCTTCTGCCAACTATATATATATATATATATATATATATATATATATATATATAGTATGTGTATGGTTCCATCACTACGCAACACATTATTTATTTGTACAAGTCAAGTTCATCAAGGTAAAGAATTGCATAAATCTTCTCAAAAAAAAAACAACATTATTTTGGTTTATTTTGTGATCGTTTTTCAGTGTCAAATCATCGTCACCTGTGTAATATAGTCATGGAGAAGGCAAAAGTTCATCAACCATGGTTTGGTATTGAACAGGAATATGCCCTACTAGATATTGATGGCTACCCATTACAATGGCCTAAAAATGGTTTCCCACCACCACAAGGTGAGTGTTTGACAAGTATTCGAACGCTGGTAAATTTGCTTTTGAATTTAATAGTAAAGTGTGATATGCGTTGAACACCTTTGATAGTTGTTGTTTTTTCCAGTGTCATATAACCTTTGATATTTAACAGTGAAGATCTAATTTTTAGAATAGTTATATTCATCAATGTGCGTCGGTGGCATAGCGGTTAGGACGCTCGCCGACCATGCATATGGTCCGGGGTTCAATCCCCGGCCGGCGCACTCCTTGGGCATGAGGCTAACGACCCCATCCTGTAAAACTAAACACTACTAAAGAAACTTCAAGCCACTAGCTTGAAGCCCTATGTTCCACTGGGAACGTGAAGGAATAAAAAATTTTTCATCAGTACTGACTGCAGGAGTGATTTTAACTCAATTAGCTTATTCCTCATGCTGAAAGTCGTTGGTACTGAATGAAATAAAAACAGTAATTTGAGCTGGAAAACTAAATATCATTCCGTTTCATTCTTCTTAGCCATCTCATACAAAATGAAATCGAAGATATTAACTGGGAGTCCTAATGCGAAATCGTGACTAGCGCGGTCCACCGAGTCAGGTAAGTTACTTGTCTATGATACTAGCTTGCAGTTGCGCTGTATTTCGCGAATTGGCAGAAGTTGGAATTCATGAATTCCAGTGGCTCAATGGTCTGTGAACTTGCCTTGCAGAAGGAGAGTCTTTGACCAGAGTCCCAATGGGCGCACAATGTTGTAGAGTTCCAGAAAAAGACGAAGCAGGTTTTAGATACCCCTTGGTTTTCCAGTAGTTCACTAACTGGTGTTATCTTGTGACCGGACCTGTAACCGATCTAACTCCTTCAAACCAACACTTGATAATACTATCAATGTATCGCAGCAAACAATTATTCACTATCCTACTGTTTTTAATTATTCGTATATTTATAGTATTATTATTTCACTCTTAATTGTTCATTTTTAGTCTATGCACTTGAAATTACTGTTTGATTTCTTTGTATCTCGCTTTAGTTTCTTTGAGTTATTTAAATTCTAGTATTCCGATGTAGGGTGTGCATCGGTGGCTCAGCGGTAGAATGCTCACAAACAACGCCTCATGTGGTCAGAGGTTCCATCCCTGGCCGACGCGCTTCTTTACCTCAGTAACCTAGTAATAAGGCTAGTAAAGAGGGAAGGTTGGGAATGAGGTTAGCAACCCCATCCTGTAAAAATAAGCAACACTGCTACCGAAACTTCAAGCCTCTGGCTTGAAGCCCTATATTCCACTGGGGAAAGTGAAGGGAAAAAAACTATTCCTACTTAACTTCGTATTTATTTATAGTCTAACTTCGTTTCACTTTAAAGTGTTCATTTAGTTTATCGATATGCATTAAAAAAACAAGCCTGATAACATCTCGTATCCCTAATATCCATTCAGTTCTTCAGGTGATTCATTTAAAGTGTACGAATGTTGTTTTGCATACTTTGATAGTAGAATAATCTTAGGTGTGTACACGGTTGAGAAGAACAGATAAAGTACGAAAATATCGCATTATTCTGCTCAAATTATTGTTATTACTTCTTCCTATTATGACAAACAGGAGAAATATACGAAGTCTTAATGTTAACTGTCTCTTATTAGTTGTTTAACTAGATGTGTCATACACAGTAATATGGAGGCATTATAGCGCATTACAAACTAACACATAGAGTCATACTTTTGTATCAAATTGACTCTCCTCATACCTCTGCTTCTTCTTCTTCTCCATCTGTTTACACGCACGCATATGACAAGTGAGAAAATCAAATTTTAAAGCTTAGTATTCATCATACTAGTTGCAAAAACAGAAAGTTTTTACAATGTGACACTGAAGAAAGCGATAAAACTTCAAGGTGTTTATAGTTGTTGAAATCCAGTTGTATGAAAATACTTCCTGATAGTGTCATATGCAGAATGTCGGCTGTGGGTGGATGGTAGGAAGTTAAGTCAGTAAGACCTCTTGCAGAGGTAAGTAATATGATTGTGAAAGTAAAACTTGACGAAGGAAGTGGTCATTTCAAGTATTCAAGTATTCACTTCAAATCACTTCACATCGTCTCTTACTTATCACTAGTTAGGAGTATCATCCTACTGGAAAACTTATTGAAAAACTCTGGTAAATTAATCTGAACAGAAAAGAATCTAATTATCTGTTTTATAAGCGAATTGAGCATTTACTTATAAGTATGACTGGTGACAGTGTAAACTAGACAGAGACTTTTATGTTTTTCCTCAGATTTACTTTATCTGTATGTAATAACTCTTAGACTACACTATCTGACAATTCGAATAAAAAAATATTAAACAGACGTTAGTCACCACTGGCATTTTACTGCTTATTTACCATTTGTAAATGTATATGTAGCTCTTTACAGTCTAACTGCTCTAGTTAACATGAAATGATGGTAGATAAACGAGATAGGAATCAAAATACTATGTGAAAATAATAAAGATTTAAAAGAGGTATAATATCAGGGAAAATCGAAGGATTGTAAAAGTAAACAATACATCTGTCTAACTTATAGAATGTGATTAGTTCCACTTCCATGGGTCCAAGATAAAACAAAATTCTACTGAAGTTGTAGGAATTCACAATTTCAAAAATCTTCTGCATCTCATAACTGTACCTCAAAAAAAATGTAAAAACCTTAGCGGCAGACCACACTCTGCAATGAAGATGATGCTCCTAAATTCATCCCACTGGGATGCATATTCATTCCCCCATCGAAATACTTCTTTACATTGTAATCCTCAGCCAGCTCTGACATCATTGTTTCTTATAAATCACATTAAAATCTACAAAAGGAAACATAAAAATGGAGAAACAGAATCTTTCGATAAAAATTTCTGTTAACTATTTAACAGTTAAAACTTCATTATTATTATTGTTCCCTTGGGCTCCTAGTGGAACATAGGGCTTCAACTGCACGTCTCCACTTGTTTCTGTCTTCTGCTGTACTTTTCACCTGCATCCATGTTAGTCCATACTGTTTCAATTCCTCTTCACACGATCTCCTCCATGTCACCCTTGGACGTCCCACGCGCCGCTTCCCTTTCGGATTCCACTCGAGTGATGGCCTGACGCGCGATGTCACCCAGCGGTCTGCTCAGCGAGTGTCCAATCCATCTCCACTTTCTCCTGCATATTTGTTGGGCGATTGGTTCTTGTTTTGTTTCTTACCATAGTTTCTTGTTTGTGATTCTTTCCGGCCATCTGATCTTGAGTATGGATCGAAGACAGTTGTTGATAAGAGTCTGCAACAGGCTGTTGGAGATATTCTTTGTGACCCGCCAAGTTTCTGATCCGTATAGCAAAACTGATTTGACGTCGTTTGTATTGAAAATCCGAATTTTGTTGTTGATGCTGAGTGGCGGAGATTTCCAGATTGGTTTCAGGTTGATGAATGTGTTTCTCGCCTTCCCGATTCTCGATTTGACATCCTCGTCCGTTCCACCTGCCTGTAGTTGAGACAATGCTCCCTAGATAAGTAAGTGAATGAAGTAACCTCTTTCAAATCCCTCATAAAACTTCATAATTTCATTTATCATTACTCTAACTGGCTTTTCTTTTACTCTTTGAGGAAAACACATTAATTAGTTCAATAACTGATTATACTTGACAGAGGATCCGTTTGACAAGTATGAGAATTTTGATAAAGCAATAAGAAGGAAGACGTAATTTGTCTGAATCATGTTATGTATTTGCGCAACACATTTCGAACACATGGACTTGTCATAGGAATATATATGAGATTAATAAAAAGTTAAGAGGTGAGAAAATAGACTTAAGTCAAGTTAAAAGGACATATTGAAGGTCAAAATAACAATGAAGACCACCAAACCAAATAGCAGAGGTAATATTACAAATGCTATGGTATCAAAACAAAATTTACCAAGGAAGGTTTAATATGATGACGAATTGTTTTTGGACGCATAAAAGTGGTTCAAACTTTCTAATTGCTAGGGCTTCCACAAACTCTAGGACACGCCCAAAACACGTTTTATAGGTAGGTTTAAAAGATCTGTTAACGTCAATTTTATGTCCTGTCTCTATAGTATGTTTCACAATAGAGGAGCAAGGTCTCCTGTTCTCACCGTTAATATGTTTTGAAGATTCTACTTGTTTCTGGAGCCATTTAGGAATATACTTTGAAGCCAGTCCTTACTTGCAGATATTGATGAGTCCTCCCTATGTATGTATGTGTGTCCACACGTACATTCAAATTGGTAAATACATGTTCTAAGGGCTTCACTTTCTCAGCTATTATGATATTAGCTGCATAGAAAGTCTTTTTAACAACAGCATTCAGTCTTTGTCTAGTCATTAAGCTACTATGATGCCCCATATAGGGTAGCTTGTTGTACACGTCTTTCTTATGGGCAATATGAGAATTGAAATGAGAATTTTACCAAAAATCAAAGAAGTGTAATTTTTATACTTGTATTACATGAATTCGTTAAAAGTTAAGAATCATATAGCAAGCACAGTGTTTAGCCTGCGATGAAAAAATTGGAAATGGATTATCATGGAAATTTGATTAAAGGCTGATTGTGAGAAACTTTCTGACAGTAAGTAAGTGACGAGAAAGTCGAAAGAGAAGTAGAGAAGGCTTGGTATAAAAGAGAAGTAAGGAATATTGAGGCCGCAAACGGAATAATGTTTACTTCAGTGTATTCGAATATAAATGTCTCGATGAAATGGTTCAGTTATACAAGTCACCAATGTGTGATATGCAGTCAAGTGAACAACATCTAAGTTTTCATGCTGATACTGTTTCCTCAAAATATTTCATTGTATATGCCTCATTAATTCAGTTGTTCTTTTATTGTTGTTGTTGTTAGGTCCTTATTACTGTTCTGTTGGAGCTGGTAAAGCATTGGGGCGTGATATACCAGAAGCACTATACAGAGCATGTATGTATGCTGGAGTCAAAATCTGTGGTAGCAATGCCGAAGTTATGCCTTCACAGGTGAGAATCGAATCATGTTCCTCGAGGTGATTTATTCATCCCACCGACTATTTACTCTTTCATCTTAAAATGATACATGAGGCTTATTTCAATCAAATGTGAACCTCATTAAAAGCATACACAAGAATGAGATGTCGGTAGCTTCCTCAAATCATCGAATACGATAGTATAATTAGGATGGTAATGGAACCGGTTAATTTTAAATATTTCACCTAATGCCTGAGGTTAAACTATGTGTCAGAAACATTTAGCTGCCATCTTACAGCATGTCGAATCTTGAATTAAAGCATTCAGATAACTTCACGAGAAATTTTACTATAAGAAATATCTCACCTCTACAATTTGAGTCATACTGAGAATAGTAATCAGCTCACCAAGGTGGACTTCAATAGCAGATTCCAGCTAGACTTAGTCATTACTCGCTAACATTTCTCTTAATAAATATATGTTATTAACTCTCTCCAGTTGTCCATTTTAATTAGATTCATGACAAGTAAGTGCATCAGTAAGCACAACATAATGAGAATGAACAACTGATTATTGAGGTAGTGAAGGTGCAGCAGTCATCGTGGTAAAAGAAGTATTCCCTCACACTTTGTGGTGAGTGGTGCAATGCAATAATGACTTGCATTTCCGTTGTTGGCCGATCTGTAGAGTGACTGTTAACGTCTAAAAAAATGTGAATGTTTTCCAGAATTACACTACGAATGGGTTCATGATGAATACTACATACAATCATTTTCGTACTCTTAGCGTTGAAGTCAAGCACTAAAAACATGTGAAAGGAAGAAATGTAAGAGCGAGTGTGGACTAGAATAACCACCTCAGAAACTTCCAAATACATAACGAGACCATAGTGGCAGGAATGAACATCATAATGAAACTACCGAAAATCACCAAACTTCCTATGATCTTCTTAACGTCTATCTAAAATACGTGTTACGAATCATATGAGAATGTTTCTGTGTCAACTTATAGTCATATGCTTGACATGAAGAACGCAATGCGGGCTCGCCTTGCTTGTGTCTTTCAGTTCTAATTACTGCAGTAGTTTGAATCGATTTGCGATTCACAAAGAAACACTGTGTAAATCTGTCACCCATTCATTAAGACCTTGTGACCGGTATATGTATAAAAATCAATCAATCAACCAATCAATCATCATCGTTTGCTTCTCACTAAGCATAGCGAGGGATCACTTGGAACCCCCACCCAACGAAAACCTACATGGAGGAGTTAAATGCCTAGTTTCTACTGTTGGGTACTTTTCTCCAGCATAAGAAAAATTCATCCATTCCATTTCCCCCTTAGGATAAGAGAGTTCTGTAGTTCACACTGAGATGAGAGCCACCCCTACAGAAAGTGATATTTTGAAACAATTGCCTGATAAAAGTATGAGGGAAACGCATTCAGACTGGCAACCAACTCAGTCTCAAATCAAATAACCTTCTTAAACATGGAAGTTATAGGTGATCCAACTCGTGGATGGCATTCTTCAGTGATCGGCTATCAACTTCATCCAGATACAAGCTTTCTAGAATCGACCATCATTGTAAGCACACACAGATTTCATCTGTTGTCAAGTGTACAAATAAATATGTACATTTCTGAAGACGAAATTCGCATATCTGAGGAGTAATTTCTTCTAGCAATACTCGGGAATTCCAGTGTCAGTTTACCTTCCAGTGATTCGGTGTCATATGTAATCAACTGTCTCAACAAGTGGTACATTACTGAATATTGAAAATGCATGCAGAGATAGCATGTGTTTCACTTACAGCCGTCTGAGGTGCTTCACAGATAAGGTTGAATGATACATTTATTCCATATCTCACAACTTCTTTGAAAGAAAAGTTTAAAAGTCAAAATAAACACTTTTTTCGCTTGTACGGAGAATTATACATGTTTAAAAATGAACGGCAGTCCCTGTTTGTGCACTTTATGTTGACCATACGGTATTGAAGTACTGCTCTCCGTTGGCTTTATTGATTCTTATATCTTTGTTGAAATTATTCCCTTTTATACTAGTTTACTCAGAGAGTCAGTCATTTGCTCTTCAGCTTTTCCATTTAGAAATTTAGAATTATCAAGGGATTTGAATTTAGTTAATTCGGTAGTCGATTTGTCATGTTACGTAATCTATTTTGTTATCCCTTGATATTTCACTGTGGTACTGTTAAAAAATATTTTTGTCGTAGTTAACATTGTTATTATCATAATATTATGTACACCTAATACTTTAGCTTCATAACGGGATGCAGTTTTCAAAAATACCATACGTATATTTTGATGATGACTTCATTGAAATGTTGTGCCTAAGGTTACATTGAGAACTATTAAACACTGTGTATGCATTTGGTCATTGTTTAAATTAACTTTGTGCTCTGAAGCTGTAAAATATCGATAGTGAAAAAATCAATATTTTCAAATTCCACTTGAAATAGCAGCATATTTAGGTTCTATATGCTATGGACTTCGCAAAATTATGACGGTGTGTTCGACATCAATTATTATTATTACTTTGATATTAAGTAAACAGTTTCTACAGTTTTCATATTTCCTTTGACTATTTGTGTTTCTTTCGGATTTTGGGAGTAGAGACTCCTTATGCACACTAATAAATACAAGTGTGGGGAAATGTCAACCTTTTCATAAGTTTCCACAAACTTTACTGTCCACTAAAATCTAATAATACACCCATTAATTTGTTAGGATTTGATATGTTTCAAGTTTGGTCACAGACTGATATCACTTAGAGACCTATTGATTACCGGGGAGTACTGGGCAGTTGTTTCGTCCCAATTTAGATCTCTTTATCAGTCTACTCCTACGGTCACGCTAAGGTCGTGGAATGATAGGATTTATGATTCATGGGCTTTCGGATCCTGGCTCAAGTGGCTGAATGGTCAGCCAACTTGGCCTAGTAACCTGAAGGTACCAGGCTTGATCCCTGATGAGGTTGTGGATGCATACTGACGAAGAGTCCTGAAGAAGAGGTATGGAACGGCTGTCCAGTACTCTTTGGTTCTCAGTGGTTCTCTAAGTGACACCAATCCATGAAAGAGACTACAATCTACCTGTGTATAAATTATTTCACCCTCTTACGGTTACTGTTAGCCATCGTTAGTCAATAACAGAATGGCTTCAGTATAAACAGTCTACACATATACCTAAGTGACTTTTTATAATAACGCAGTTGCAAATTAAGTAGAGTTAGAAATCGTTCACTGGGTTGCTCATTTGTTTATCCACCTATTATCACGGCGCCTGATCTTTACTATTATTACTATTATGTAGATACAATTTTACGAGTATTATCGGTTTCAGTGAAATTTCCAGTTACTAGCTAAAAGTTTTAGGATCATTTTATTTTCATTTAGTCAAACAATTTTTTTTGGCCAAGCTTATCTTAATTTAATAAGAAATTAATTGGTGAATGGTGACTAGCAGTGGAATCCAGGATACGCATTTCTTCCCATTTGGGACTCGCCGGCTAAATGGATGTACCTGCATTTCGCACTGAGTGATGATGTTCCCACCAGGGCTCAAACTCAGTGCCCATAGTTTCAAACGCCAAAGAGTTATCGGCTGCAATACATGGACCGCGAAAGCCATCTCTTGTGCAACGGGTCATATTAATTCTATAATTCAATTTTAGATTTTCCCACCGATTGATTGGACCGAAGTGCTCGATCTCAGTGGTCTAGTGGATAACGCTTTGGCACTGAGTTCGAGCCCCGGTGGGAACACCATCACTCACTGGGGAATGCAGGTAGCTGGCGAGTCTCAAGTGGGAAGAAATGCGTATCCTGGATTCCACTGCTAGTCACCATCCACCAATTAACTTCTAATTACATGCCCAGACATTGTCGAAGCATCTGCACAAGAGGCCGACATGTCAACCTGAAACCAAGCACTTCGGTCCAATTGATCGACGGGAAAATCCAAAATTGAATTATATATCTTAATGTATTTTATTTTCACTAATTTTTAGGCTAATTAATAAGTTTTGGACAGTAGGAGTTGCAAACTTGCTTTTATTTCATTTGAATAATGCGGTGTTCAGCTGATCAATACTGTGGGATTTAAATTCTTACAAATCACATTCTGTCATAGGAGTTAATAAAAAGACAATTGCAGCGAAGAAAATTTTCTTTTCGACGAAGTCATCATCTAGGCTGTACATTCGTGTATTTATATCAAATGGATAGGAAAGTTCCAGAATAATTTCTGGTTAGGGGTCAAATTAATAAAAAATTACAATTAGGAATTAAAGTGACATAACAAACAGGGGGGATGGGTAAACTCGAACAAAGTAGCATTATAATAACTAAGAAGATTGACATTGTGCAATTGGGGGTTAGAAATGTAGAAATAACAAAATATACAGGATGTTTGGATAAAAAACTAATATGATGAATAATTGTTTATACAATCAGGGATTAAATATGTAGAAATAGTAAAATGACAAAATAAACAGGAAGAGTGGGTATGAAAATATGGTAGTGTAGACAGGGTTTAAGAAAACTTAAAATAACATGAATAAACAGGAAGTTTAGATAAGAAAGGTGATGAGATTGTCATTACTAAAAAAAATTTTTTACCTGTTTATGATGGCCATGGTAGGGAGAGGGGTTGGACGTAATTCTTTTGGATACAAAGTGTGGGTTTGAGCTTTTGGATAGCTAGCGCCTCAGCTATACCCAGATGTCTTGACTTGATTCCCTTTGATAGGTTTGATTGAATTTTGTATATTACTTTGAAGGATTTTTCAAAAGGCGCTGAATGTCCTGAGTTGACCAGATGTTCTGTCACTGAACTGTATACACGTTTTCGGTCTCCTTTTACTAGCCAGGCTGGGTAGTGTTCGCGAGCGCGTTTTTCAAGTCGGCGCATGGTACGGCCGATGTACTCAGCCGCGAGCCTACGACTGACGTTTTCTTGCAAGAAACTGTTCAGCCAGAACGTGAAAGACAAGCCGTCGCATTGGGCCACCTCAACGTGCATATACCAGTTTACTTGCTCTTGTGGAGCTGAGTACATCGGCCGTACCATGCGCCGACTTGAAAAACGCGCTCGCGAACACTACCCAGCCTGGCTGGTAAAAGGAGACCACAAACGTGTATACAGTTCAGTGACAGAACATCTGGTCAACTCAGGACATTCAGCGCCTTTCGAAAAGTCCTTCTAAGTAATATACAAGATTCAATCAAACCTATCAAAGAGAGTCAAATCAAGACATCTAGGCATAGCTGAGGCGCTAGTTATCCAAAAGCTCGAACCCACGCTTTGTATCAAAAAGAATTACGTCCAACCCCTGTCCCTGCCATGGCCATCATAAACAGGTAAATTTCTTTTTAATAATGACCATCCCATCGCCTTTCTTATCTAAACTTCCTGTTTATTCATGTTATTTTAAGTTTTCTTAAACCCTGTCTACACTACCATATTTTCATACCCACTCTTCCTGTTTATTTTGTCATTTTACTATTTCTACATATTTAATCCCTGATTGTATAAACAATTATTCATCATATTAGTTTTTTATCCAAACATCCTGTATATTTTGTTATTTCTACATTTCTAACCCCCAATTGCACAATGTCAATCTTCTTAGTTATTATAATGCTACTTTGTTCGAGTTTACCCATCCCCCCTGTTTGTTATGTCACTTTAATTCCTAATTGTAATTTTTTATTAATTTGACCCCTAACCAGAAATTATTCTGGAACTTTCCTATCCATTTGATATAAATACACGAATGTACAGCCTAGATGATGACTTCGTCGAAAAGAAAATTTTCTTCGCTGCAATTGTCTTTTTATTAAATCACATTCTGTAAATCTTGAAAGTCTACTTTATACCTAAGTCGACACATGATACACCAATAATATGGTGTAAATTGTTTGAATAAATTTGTCAAATATTAACAGGTCCAGATATTATGAGTTTTTGAGACTATTCCATCATGTTCATAATCCAAAGAGCATATTGATTTGCAAACAATTCCTATCACAGTTAATATGAACACTTTAACTTCTAGATTACGTGGTGAATTGAACATAACATTTTTCAAAGTATTTACAAATAAATTACTGTAGAGTTTATGATATTTTATTGTGTATTTTTAGTGGGAATTTCAAGTTGGACCATGTGAAGGTGTTTCAGCTGGTGATCATTTATGGATGGCTAGATTTATACTACATCGTGTAGCTGAAGACTTTGGAGTTATTGTAACACTAGATCCTAAACCAATGGAAGGTAATTGGAATGGTTCTGGAGCTCATACAAATTATTCAACTGCGTCTATGAGAAATCCAAAAACAGGTTTACAGTAAGTACTGAAAAAAAAATTAAAAGAAATTTATTTTATGCATGAATATTATTCACTTTTATTTTTTTTCTGAATTCATTAAGAGGAATTTACTTCCCTAAAGGGCATATATTCATCATATTAGTGGATAATTTTATATCTAATTCACCCCTTACTTGCTTCCTGAAACTTGCACTTTATTCTCGAGTTTTGAGTTAGGCTAATATTCTATTTTCCCATCATTTGGTAATCTTCATCTACAAGAATATTCACTCATTGTTGACCATTTTGTCTAGGCTTTTCCTAATGACATCGGTCCAGATTCATGTTCAATATTTTCCCGCCAACTTGATAAGCATATTTTTAATCTACACACTGTAGAGTGAATGATATTGTTTAGAACAATAGCAGCTTATGAATATCCTAGTTCTATCCACGAGAAGTTTATGTTGTGTGGTAGAAACTAATTTTGAAAATCCCCATTGAGTCATATGAAAAAGAGAAGACGTTCAGCGAAGAGACTCTTTTCGACGGCGAATTCATTCACATAGCTAGCTGTACAATCGCATTTATATATAATTATTTGTGTGTGTGTGTACACATGAGGTTTGTAAAGTTTAGATAATTGATCAGGTAATACAAGAATGATCTAATATAGAAACAAGGTTAATTAGACAGCAACTAAAGTAAGATTGAGTTAGTAAATTAGATGACTAAAATGTTTGTTTGCCCAAACTTCAAAGTCGTCTACAGAGTAAGAAGTAGTCTTCCTAAAGGTGTACGAATCAGACTTCTTCAAACTGCAGAAGCAATGGCGATTCACTTGCTAAGTCCTGAACTCTGCATACAGAAGAAGTTCATTCAATCACTACACTTCCAATGGACGTAATCTATCTTATTAGCTGACAAGTGAATTCTACCTAATCTATTTTCTGTCTCTTCATTAGTATTATTTTGCCTTCTCAATTGTAATATTTTACATTTTCGACTTTCTTGTTCTCTACTCCCACCCGATTCAATTTCTACACCTCGCTACCACTGTTACTGACTTGAACAACGCTCAATTTCTAGTCATTTATGTTACGTCATCCAACTTATTTGCTCAATTTCAGTTCTAATTTAAATGGCATTATTCTCTACCCGACTTCTACTTAGTCTCTACCTGCAATTACCTCTGTTGCTACCGTGACCTAAGTTGAAACATTTTAGTCAATTATATTACGTCATCTAACTTACTAATTCAATCTTACTTTGAAATAATAGAGAAGATTTGTAGCTCAGGTGGATGATTTGCTTTTTGTGCTAAATATGGCGCTGAAGATGTTGTCCAGAAGGACGACGAAAGCTTCGCAACTAAACCAACCAGCTCAGAGAACACTGTTAATTGCAAATCAATCTTACTTTAGTTGCTGTCTGATTAACCTTGTTTCTATATTAGATCATTCTTGTATTACCTGATCAATTATCTAAACTTGACAAACCTCATGTACACACACACACCTCATGTAAATTTGTTGCTGGAGGACGATGCAAGTGTATCAGGCGTCATCAACGCTATTCTGAACGCCGCAACCATTGCCTGGATCATATCTGGAGCAGGCGTGGAGGTCGACGTTGTTGGTGGGGTTGATCACCTCACCGGTGGTGCACTGTTACAATATTCAGGATCACGGGCGTTCGCGTTGTCAGGAGATTCGAGGTCCTTAACTTCTCGCTTTAGTTTACGTGAGTCGGGCCGGCTCGCCATGTTCTGTAATGGAATAACACAAACAATAATACAGGTCAAGCACGCAGGGTAGAGCGAAAAAGCAGAACACGACTTGAGGAAAAGCACTTTATAACTGACACTGAATTGCACCAGCATAAGTCCAAAAAATTTATATGTGGGTACTAAGAGCTAGGCTTTTACAGTTCAGCGTCAACCGGTTTTTTGAACTGACGCTTCCTTTCAAATTTGAACCACTACAAGACCCCCTCGCTTCCAAAAAGCTGTCCACAGCGACTTCAGTCTTTCTTTCTCCCCGCCTCGGCATCACCCCTGCAAGAGAAAGAAACACATGGTTATTATGGTTATCAAGATTAGGTGGGGTTTTCGTCGGTGCCTGTCGGTTTGGTCTGGACGGTTTTAGACGGTTGAAGTGCACACAAATAATTATATATAAATGCGATTGTACAGCTAGCTATGTGAATGAATTTGCCGTCGAAAAGAGTCTCTTTGTTGGACGTCTTCTCTTTTTCATAAGAAACTAATTTCATTATTAAAATTGTTTGTTATAAATACCTATACTCATTCGACTCATTTGCCTAATACTCTGTTATGCCTATTGGAACATATATTCGAAAAGATCGCATAATTCTCTCTCTGGAAGAAAATGACCATCAACCATTTGGAATAAATCGCAAGTGAATTCCAGAATTAAAAACACCTGCTGGATATGTAAGAAAACAGCAAAGAGTAGAATAATACAGACTCAGCGTCATTTCAGTAGTATTTGTTCAGCCAATTAAAAGCTAGAATATCAAAATTTATTTATTTTTTTTCTTTTTCAAAACATTACACGGAAAATTCGATACTCCCTATAGGATAGGAAGGAAATTCTATCATACATTTTACCGCTTAAATTTTTTTCTATACATACACTGATATACATGTATCTGTTACTTACTCTTTCTTTGTTGAGTTAATGAGCAAAGCATACTACAATTCCATGAACATGTTTAGGCTTTTTTATATATATCCTAATTTGTGGACAGGTGGAGAAAAGTTGACTATATAAGTCGAAATTATGTTATTCCGCTTGAATTATTATGCCTACTTTTCTCCAGCTTATTTAGGAGAAAGCTTTTGTATAAAAAATTGCATGAAAGCCTTCCCTAAACATCCTGAGAGGTTTATCTGTAATCCTACACAAACCGTTTTTCTTGATTTATTCAAATTCATAGAGAGGAGTAAATATGTTTGAATTTTCTGGAAAAGCGCCTCTCCATACAGTCTTTCAAATCACTAAATTACTTGATGACATTCTGTTACAGAATATCCAAAGAAGTAACTCGTTTGTAGTGTTACGATGAGTGCTCTCAGTCTCATTGCTTTCTTCGCCAACTTATTAGGACGCTACATGCTCACAGACTACCACCTTCTTTTAAATACTTACGGAACACTTCGAAGTGAAGACGGCAGTGAGACAAGCTGGCTGGCTGCCTACTATCTCCAATGATTTTTATGATTGCTGTAGACTGTATAATGCGACAAACAACGGGCAGCGATGAAACGCATAAAATGGACCCATATAAAAAACTTGGAGGATCAGGACTCCGCCGATGATATGTGTCTGATTTCCACGAACTGGAATATGTGCAAGTGAAAAGCAACAAGTTGGCTGAAGGAGCATCCAGAGAAGATAGGCCTTCAGGTGAACGGAGAAAAAACAGAGGTGGTGAAGATTCTTGGTCAATAGCAACAACAATTGACAAAAATTAGCATAAATAGGAGAAATCTGAAAGAAGAAACCTCCTTCACCTACCTACCAACCTGGGAAGCGTCGGTTCCACTACAGCCGGATGGAACTGATGAGGATATCAAAGCGAGGATCATAGGGAGAGCAAGGTAAGCTTTTATTTCTCCCAAGTCTGGGTGGAGGACAACAGCAATCGGCATGAAAAACAAGATCCATATTTTCAAATCCAATGTGAAGTCAGTGCTACTATACGATCAGCGAATTAGCGCGTCATAAAGGGTACTTCGAATAAATTACAGATCTTCATCAACAGATCAGATGGATGGCCAAAAAGGACCAGCAACAGTGAAGGACCTCTGGGAGCGAACGAACCAACCAGGAACTGATTGTTCAACAAATATGTAGGAAGAAATGGAGATGGATTGGCCATTCTCTAAGAAAACAAACCATCAGGCAGGCCACTGCTAGAGTTGAATCCGAATGTGAAGCGGCGAGTTGGTCGTCAGCAAGAGGGCGATATGGAGGGAGCTATGTGAAGAGGAGATGAAAGAATATGGGCAGACGTGGAGCCAGGAGAAAACGCTGGAAGAGAGCCGAACGCAGTGGAGACGTGCGTCTGAAATCCTATGTTCCTCTAGGAATTAAAGGAAACAATAATAGTAATAATGATACGCCTATGTTTTCATCTCCTTACACAATATCCTTCATTTCAGTCTCGAATGGCCAACTCGTCGTTTCTCGATCGGGGTCCATTCGGACTATGGACTGACACTTGACGTCTGGTATTCGTTCAGCTTTAAATATGTATAATTCTCCATACAATCGAACAGAAAAGCGTTAAGTTAGAATTTTAGAACTTTACTTCAAAGAAAGGGTAAAATAGGGAATAAGTAATATCTGTATAGCAACTCAGACGAGTGTAAATAAAACCCATCCTATCTCTACATGCATTTTCAATATTCATTAATATACCACTTGTTGAGACAGTCAGTTACATATGGCACCAAATCACTGAAATGTAAACTGCAAGAGACACTCCCGAGTAGGGCTGGAAGGAATTACTCCTCAGATATGTAAATTTCGTCTTCAAAAATGTATATATTTATATGTACACTTGACAACAGCTGAAATATGTGTGTGCTCACAATGATGGCCGATTCTAGAAAGCTTGTTTCTGGATGAAGTTGATAGCGGGTTATCGAAAGATGTCATCAATTATTTGGATCATCTATAATTTCCATTTTTAAGAAGGTTATTTGATTTGAGAGTGAGTCGGTGGCCAGTGTGAATGGATTTCTTTCTTGCTTTTATTAGTTAAGTGTTTCGGATGACCATGTTCAGTGGTGGTGGCTCTCCTCTCATTCTAAACTACAGAACTCTCTTATCCTATGGGGGAAATGAAATTGGTGAAGTTTATTATCCTGGAGACAAGTACCTACCAGTAGAAACTAAGTATTTAACTAATCCATGTAGGTTTTCATTGGGTGGGTGTTTCAGGTGATCCCTCGCTATGCCTAATGAGAAGCGAATGATGATGATTGATTGGTTTACACTTATACTTAG